TCAGCCAGTGTGTACAGAGTCAAGAATACGAGATACTATTTGCATTTGACATTTAGACGTCGGTGCTGCTTTCGCACGTGGGTACTTGCTACTCACCAGGCGGCGAATCAAGTTTTCTCTCTCGCAAGTGAACATGTTTTGGCATCACATTATGTACGTATGCTTCATTATATAATCGTAATAAATCCTCGCACCCAATTATTCGATCATTTTATTTCTCTCTCGGTGTGTGTGTGTGTGTGTGTCTCGATAGCTTTGTCGGCTAAACGGATCAAAGTTCACACACAAAGTTTTTTTCGCTTTTTTTTAAATCAAATTATACGCTTGCTTGAGAATGCAACAAATGATTTAATCGTCTTGATTCGCTTAAAAATGCATATAAATTACATTATCCACAATGATTGGGCACATTTGACATGCCGATAAATAAATGGAGTCGTCGAAATGTGAAATTCATTCATTGCGGCCAGTTCTCCGTTGGTTTAATTTTGTTCGTTGTTATTTTCGTCGATTTTATAAGTCACCGTCACATTATAAAAACAGCAGTTCCTATCTTTAATAAATACTGCTATTTTATTATACTTTTGACAGTTTAACATAATTTCATTCCGCCGAAAAGTCATTAAATTTATGCAATCGTTGTGTCGGCATTGAGTCGGTGGAGTTATTACTTTTAACGCACACGAAAAACAAAAATTACATGCTTGTTCTAGGAATAAGAAACGAGATTTTCGCTTGATTCAGAACCAGCTAAAAATGCACGAAATGCAGTTGCAATTTAAATGCACGCGGCCTGCTGTTTCCAAGACCCTGGATAACCAACAATGCAACTAGCCACAAATGGACTTGTTCCTTCCGATTGGTTGGGCTAAACAACACGAGACGAACGGAAAAAATGAAACAAATAAAAATAACGTGATTTTTCATGAATCATTTGCCGGACAATACAAATGGCGAGAAAAGAGCGAGCAAATCTCTCGTTTGCCATCCATTTATGTAGATATATCGCACAAGTGCCGAAGTGTTGTGCCGTATGATTCGTTTACATCGAATGGAACGAACGAAGAAGAAAAAAAACCAAATGAAATGAATGATTGTGCGTTCGCTCGTTCATTCGTGCTCGATCATCCACACACAAACAAATCGTTAAGGTTATCGAACACACCGCAATTTTAAATAAAAACACAATAATTAATGCTCGTTGAAATACTTGTAGTTAAATGACTAGTACGGCTTCTTTATTATTGTTCGTTGTTGTTTTTCCTCTCGTCGGCTCATTCAATTCGGAACTGAGAACAAAAATAGCACCGTCCGAACGAGACGACATCAATCGAGTTGAAAAGAGAGCATTAAACGGAAGTTAAGTGATGCTTTGTACGTGTAGCTAGTGTTTAAATGCAAAGAGACTGACCTTATACTATTCACTTTGTGAATAGACAACAATTCACACACAATATGAATACAAAAAAAAGTCAGTCAGCGGGGCGAAAAAAAAAAACACCAACAACAACAACAACAACCGCAGCGCAAACAATATTGATTAAATTAAATGTGCCAAATCGGAAGCAAAAGTAGAAATAGAATCGCTTGAGCCTGAGTGTGTATGTGCTTTTTAGCAGCAATCGCAAGCTTTTGTGTACGCCTCTCTCAAACTTGACACATAGTTCCTGGTTTGCAGTTAAACCACATTTAACTATGCGGAACTAGAATCGCCTTTTTTTCCTCTTTCTGTTTACAACTGTTTGTTTGTTTTAATTTTTTTTCTTCTGCTTATGACAAGATCGTTTCGTTGTTTTGATTTTTATTTTTAAAATTGCCAATCACTTACTCTATTTGTTTTGTTACTTAGAATTTTTGTGCCCTGGTTCCGTTTTTTTTTTTTTTTTCAATTGTCACTCACCTGATGTGCACGTACACTTTTGCGATTGGCCGCTGTCTTTTTCGATTTGATCTGTTCGGACAATGGGGAAGGTCTTTCGATATTTCAGCATCATTTGCACGATATTACGAACCTAAATGGACATGCATACTCAAATATGGTGGCCAACAGAGAATTCGTCTTGACAAATATTTATTTTAAATTTTTTGGGGTAATTTACACGACAATAATTCCAATGAAACTATTGAGTATCACAGTTTTTGGGGTGACAAATCGAAAATTTGCATTGAAACGATGAATTATGTTGACGATTATACTTTGAAACAGAACCCAAATGAATTGGATTTGTTTCTTTCATTCTGTAAAAATTCTGATTTTCAAAAACAAAATGCTTGTCATTTCCAATTATATCTATGTTTATTCATGACCTTTTTCCTCCCATGAAACGAATGCTCCATGAAAGGCATGTAAATTTTGACAGAAAAATTAATGAAGAAACGATTAGAAAATGCGATTAGTGGGTTTCATATCATTTGCACGATCCAAGGTGATCGAACTATCGCAATATCTATCTATCATTGTTTGTTTCAATTGCAAAAAAATGCTAAAAATAGTAGCGATAGAAGGCAGAAAAACGGTATTTTCACAAACTAACGTACTGATAAGCACTTTAGTGAGAGAAAAAATGCTGTCCAAAAAAGGAAGCAAATAAATGAGATGCGATGAAAACAATTATGTAAATACATCGGAAAAAATGTAAACAAAAAACTTGAAAACAAATGAAAAAGTGCAAATTGTAGCGATAATCATTTGAGAAACGAGCTGCTTCAGCTAATAAAAATGAGTTAAGATTGAAGGACAATAAAGAAAACAAGGAAAAGTCAAGTCTACAACTTGAAGATAAGCTATTTTCAACCGAATTGAACAGCTCATACTTCGTGTCATAGCCATCTAGCAAGTTGATCATGGATTAGAGTAAATTCAAATGTGTTTTTTTTTTGTTACGTGTGTACACATGACCGCGCGTGGCTGAATCGCAAATTCGATCGTTCAAGCTCAATGTAAACAGAAAACACGTGACCCATGTTAGCAAAAAAAAAAAACCATTGGATTTGGCGTTTCCTTTTTTTGCTATCAACAATCTCTGTTTACGGTAGTTTGTTGTTTCTTTTGCCGGAATGGGAGATTATAATCGCCCAAAATGATCAACACTTAAATTGATTATTTTCGTTGCACAAAAGAATGATCTAAAACGAGGCGAAACGATGAGAGAGAAAAAACGCGAGCGCACATTCGCACATAACACAGACGAGCGCAACTCTGACGTTCCTTACATTCGTAGCTCGACAGACAGTCTGGCATTGAGAAATCGACATAACGAATGTGCACAGCATATAACGAAGTGTACATAAACGATGAATGACAATAATGAAGCAAGTAAATGAGCGTGATATGGATGAATCTCACACAGAGAGCTTTCATTCGATTGCTATATATCGAATCGACGATTGGCACAGTATTAAATGCAAATACATGGACAATTTCCATAGTTGTATTCTGTTCATTGCATTTCGATTGATAAAGAAGTTGACGAAAAAGGGTAGGTAAAAATCAAACAAAAAGAAACTCGATACTTCAAAGGTAAAATTCCAGGAACCGTAGGTAAGTCAACACAGGTGAGAACAATAAGTGTGATATATAAATGACCGCGAAAATCGTCGTTTTTTTTTTTCTTCGTCTTGTGTAAAATATGAGTCGTTTCAAAAGTCCTTTCAAGCCGCAAGCGACATGTTCTTATGTGTGTCCAACTTAAAATGCATCGATCGAAATTGCAGTGAATCGTGTGTGTGGCGGCGCTTAATGAAGGAGTCCCGCCTCGAGATGTGTGTGTTTGTTATTCAGAACAATCACATAGCATTGATCTGCGCTAAGCGATCACTTATTGATTGCATTGAACTATTTGAACTTGATTGAATCGAGAGGTTCAAGGGAATGATTATTTTCAAGGAGCCATGAAATATGCGTCGTCGTCGTCGTCGTCGAAAGAAAACAAACTTTCTCATAAACTTACTGAAACTATCGTCATGGCCATGAGCAAATTGTACGATGCAACAATATCATTTGTATAGAATAAACAATTTGAAGTATGAAGCGAAAAAAAACCCAATCAATTATCACCCAAATCAGCAGTATAGAAAATTTCCTTACTTCGTCAATTCACAAAACAGAGAGAGAGAAAAAATGAACCGTTGAAACAACAGCAACAACAACAACAACTGTTACAAACAATTTCGAGAATCGGACCTATTACATAATTATTACTGTCAATGTTCTTGGCCATCCAAAAAAGCCGCAGTTTTATTTACATGTAAAAACAATTGTGCAGATCTTGAACTTTTCATGATGTTGATGGGCCCACCGCTCATTCGCCTTTATTTTTTTTAATTGAACAATTAATTCCAAAATAAACAAATGCACGATTCTATATTTATCATCGCCTGATTGCACGTCAATTGACGATCAACAACGTTTATGCGCACTCTTGTCTATATGTGATAAAATGTATTTAATTATCATTCATAAAAGGTGAGAACGTCCAATGAACGTCGCACATTTGGATAAATGCCATCTGAATATGGACCAGAGCCACTACAAGAACAGAGCAGTGAATTTGCTGTCTGTTCATCCGCTGTTGGTTAGCAGTTCATTTCAGCTGAAGCTGTTGGTATAGCAATTCAATCAACAGCGCGATACATGTGGAACACTGTAAATATCACACGGTAACACAAATAAATAAACAAAGCTAATCCATACAAACGAAGCTATGTCTGTGCGATGTCACTTCAAAAATGTGATTAAATTCATACTTGCTACTAACACGTTGTTGGAGTCTCAAAATTAGAGTTGGTGTGCGATGCTTACAGGGTATTGTGTGCCAAAGTAGACTACGGGCGCCTTATAATAGCAGCAGCTGGGAAGACAGCAAATTCACTGCTCTTGTCTAGTAGTGACTCTGGTCCATATTCAGATGGCATTCATCCAAATGTTTCGGGAGACTTGAAATCAACCATTTTCACAAGATGGCGTATGCAATTGAGTCAGAATTTAAAAGAAAAATCAATTTTTTAAATATTTTTTCCCCTTTTTTATTCTTCATATTCAAAAACCGTCAGGATTTATATTTAAAAAAATTCAATGTTAGTGCAGAAACTTCCGTGCTAAACTGATAAAGAAACAACCCAAATGTGTTTAATAAAAAAAAATGGTATAAAATTGAAATACGATTCAAAATCAACCAAAACGATATGGTTAAACTAAATAAATTCGTCCGCATTTGTTCATATTTCCATTTTTTTTTTATAATTTCATCTAATCTACTCTATTCTACTGTCATGTCTAACTGCGGTTAAACTCGTTCGGGATGTATGTGCCGTATGTGTTTGGTTAGGCTAGATTTTGCCTGAAAGGAAAAACAAGAAGAAAACGAGAATAAGAGTTTTTCCATTGAGTTTATAGAAGACACTTACCGGGAATTGTTTCGAGCAATACTCGCACATCACCTCTTTTTCGCCCATGTGGGTAATTTTAATATGACGCTTTAGATTATCCATTCGATGATGCATATCTCGGCAAATATGGCATTGAAACTTGCGATTTTTGCATGTTATCTCATGCTTTTTCATTTCATTGGCATCGAAAAAGCCACGTCCACACGTCGAACAATGCATATCAAAGTCATCGGCATGCAGTTTAATGTGCTGATTAAGATGCGATACTCTGGTGAATCGTCTTTGGCACACAACACAGGCAAATGGTCGTTCGCCAGTATGCTTTCGCTTATGCAGATCCAGATTACCAATGCTGAATGTCATGTATTTGCATTGATCGCACGTGTATCGTCGTGTTTTGCATTTGGTCTCATGCTTTTTGGATGCATTCTCGTCGGGAAAACCTCGCCCGCACGAACCACAATGAAAGTCATAGTGCACGGCATGGAGAGACATGTGCCGATTGAGATCAGTCTTTTGTGCAAATCGCTTGGGGCAAAATTCACATGAATGTGGCTTGAATGAAGAAAAAAAAGAAAGAAAAATTAAATATTTTTTCTTCTTTGTAAATCTAAAGAAATACACACCTTTTCTCCGGTATGCATGAGCATATGACGTTTCAAATGACTCGGTCGTTTACATGTAAATTTACAGAGGCTACATTCGACGAGTTTGAGCATTAACGATGAAAGCGTCCGACCTCTTTTCCCTTTGTTTTCATTTTGTCCTTTTTGCTTGGGCTCCCTTTGTTTCTTTGGCTTCTTTGCTTTTGTTTCGTTTGCGTTCGTCTTTTCGATTGGGTGCTTCCGTTTTCTAATACTACACTTTTGTAATGGTTCTGTCGGTGTTTTTAATGATTCTTCTGCTGGATTTTCCAGATTTTCATTATTCAACGTGAGCTGAAGGGCCTCAATATTCACCTTTTCTTCGAAATAAACTTGTTCAACTGGTGACAATTCGGCTGGCTCTTGCTCATCAAATTGCTGATGAGTTTCATCGATTTCGAATTTAAACGATTCAATTATTTCGATACTCGGTTGTACAGCTGCATCAATTGCTTCATCATCCGATTCTTTCTCCGACTTTATATCCACAATTATCGGCAATGGCATATATTCCACATATCGATCCGTTTGGGTCGATGCATCTTTTAATTGTGATTTATATGCAGTCACCTTTGAATTTCGATTCGCTTTTTTTTTCATTTTTAGCAACGGCCACTTTGATGATACACTATGGCTTTAGGAAGTTCAATCGTCTTACCATTCAACACAATCAACATTTAATAGCAACCGATGGATGTGAAAAATGTTTCAACACGATTTATATGCAAATTACAAAAGTATTATTATCTCTTCCAATAACAACCGCATTTTGTTTGTTATTGTTCTAATGACGTTCGGAACATTTTCTGACGTTTTATGGTGTTGCCATACACACAATGTTGAATCGATTCAAATGAAGTTGGTCGCAATACATCCCATTTGAATCAGTTTTTACGACCCGCTTAGTCGGTCATTTTTGAATTGAATATTTATTTTAAAGAAAGTTTTATTTCATAAAAAAAAAAAAATCGAGAAAATAATTTATTTTTGACAACTTTCCTTTCAATATAGAGTAGTTTCTCAAATAAATCCGATAAATAAGTTAACTTTCGAATTTTGTCGAGTTTCAATCCAATTAAGGAGATGGATGTGAAGCAATTTTTTTTCCTCTAAAGAGAGAAAAAGTGAAAATATGTTCGGAACTTTTCATTTTTTGTCTACTGTTTGTCAATTGAAAAAACCGTTTGTTGAAACCCCAATCCCATGAAAATTAACAAAAACCAAATAAAAAATAAAACTTTATGTCTTGTTTGAAATTTCAACATTTTATTAAAGAAAACCCATGTGCAAATATTTCGACAGACTGTTAACTAATTGATTCAATTCATAGACAGTTAAAATTCTCAGTCAATTGATTAATTTCAGGCATTTTTAACCGATCAGTTATCTTTTCGGAGAGTATTTATCAGACGATCATCGACTATAGCTGAAGTTAACTAAAATCGTCTGTTTTGTTTGAGATAATAATTTTGCTCAGTCAACAATTATCTGGAATGTGCGAAATTAAGCGATTGCTCAGTGTTTACTCCCATCTACACACGTTTCATACATAATCTACACACGTCTTATACATAGAATCAGGGAAACCTATTAGAGACATTTCATTATTTGTCCCTGGAACCTCTTGTAAGCTACCGCATATCTTGTTCTCCTAAAAAAACACAAAAGAGTGTTAGAAAAATTTTCATTATCAGAACTGGATGCCTGAGAATAATGACCGCATTTTGTTTCAATGTGCAATTAAGTGAATCTTGAAAAAGTTAGTGTGCAAGAACAGGGCCAATGTTATTGCCATCATGGCTTACAAAACCCAGAAAAACTATGTAGATGTGAAATTCACACAATATATTTCAAAATTCACATTCAACGGCCCATTGAAATAAATGTAGCGATCATTCTCAATCAGAAATTATAATGCATACTCACAATTATACACTTTACAAAATCCAATAATATACCAAAGCGAAATTCCAATTGGAAATTCCAATCGGGGCTCCAGCGCGAAAATCCAACTAGTAATGGTCCTTCGGTGAGATTAGTTGTCTTCCTTACAATTACAGGACCTTTCAATTTGAACAAAATTGAATAAATTAAATTTATTTTATCAAATTATGGATTATGTGTGGGTGAAATTAAAATCTTACCTCCTTCCGTGCGCCTTAAATCTCCTTTTTCGACTATAAATGATGAATATGGTTCAGTGTCATTCGTTATTGTTGCTGTTCCGCATTTCAATAGCGTCGAATTGTACTCGCTTATTCCATGGTAATTATTATAACCACACAGTTCAACAGTGTTTCCGTTTTTCATGTACACGTCGCCGTCGTCCTTTTCAGCCAAACGTATTGGACAAATCGTTGGTCCAAGTGGTAATGGTTCTTTGAGTGTAAGCAAAGCCAAACCAACATGGTGGTATCGACATAAATAAGGAATACGCTTCAAACTAGCTACGTGCCCAATTAGTCCACCATTTAATCTGTTTGTTGTGCCAACTCGCACTGATATGTTCTTATGCTCACTCATCATATAAGAATCCTTCGATCCCGTATAATATCTTACACAATTGACTAAAGTGACAATTTGCGTGGAAGAGATTATTGCTCCACTACATGCTCTCAAGCCTCGCACATTTTTCTCAGCAGGCAGAATAGCCGCATGATAACAGAATCGCGACGAATCAGGTTCTATCATCGCGGTCAATACCAGTGGCACTATGGCGAAAAGTAAAGTAACTAACAACATTTTTCGTCAATATTTTTTAAAGAAAATAAACGCTCAAGCAGAAAAAATTATTCAGAATTCAATGGCAGAACAAAAAATCATGTCCAAGTGGA